CAATTCTTCTCTAACAAGGCTGATACTGCCCAAAATCACAACGACGTTAACCTCAGTGTTACCTTCTTTCCTGATGCCAGCAATTATTTGAGCTTCGATGCGGTCTCTGGGGAACTGTCTGGACAGATCCCGGGCAACTCACAAGTCCCAAAGATTGTGATCACCTTCGTCGCATATTCCCGTGTCACGCACTCCACTTCCCACGCAACACTATCCGTGGTGTCTCCGCAGAAGGAAAATCAGAGCCAGGGTCTAGGAACGACGAACTCGGCGGGACGCCAAACAACAACACTGATCTTGTCTGTCGTTTTTGGTGTAATTGGAGGCTTGCTCAGCCTTGGCGCCGGTCTGGCCCTGTTTAGGCGTTGCGCAAGTGTTCGAGACTCGGCTTTGCTAGGTGAGGAAGGCGCATTCGCTTGGTCGGATGCGGAGAAGAGGTACTACGGGATGGCTTCCAATACAAACAATAGTCTTCCTGAAGAAAACAAGGGTTACGGTTGGTCCAAGGAGGCAGACACCAGCGCAACCTCGGAGAAAGGCAGTCTTGAGCTCGGTCAGCGGCAGGGGAACTCGTTCCAACCCATTGAAAATCTGCCGTCCAACGCATACGCAAATCTTGGACTTGGCCTTCGGCGTGTTGTTCCTCAAACTCCTTCGACTGTTCACGCTGATTGCAATGGTGTCATGAAGAAGGCCGAGTTCCTTGGGCGGATCAAGGAGACTGCAAGGAACGTGAGCGACAAATACAAGCGCAAGGTTGCTCCAACAAGGCCTGTCATCGGGTACCCTACGCCATTGACGTCAAGACATGCACGTCAGGGTGTGGATGGGCTTCCTCTAGAAGGCGACTACATAGACATCAAGGCCACCCCAATTTCACAAGATATACGCGAAAATCCCTTCAACGACCCAGAGTTGAAGGTCAAGCGAACGAGTACGATGACTAGTTTCATTAGTTCTCCGTCGAACTCTACGGATGAGAGGTCCATCCCACGAAGACGAGCCGATTTTGCTCCACCAAGGTCGCCGCGAGGCCCACGAGAGCCATCACCCGCCGCTGTCAAGGACTCTGCTAACAAAAGGTACATTCTTATTTCGTCGTATCGCTTGATATTGACTAGAAGCATCTTTCAGCATTATCAGGGAAAGTATACAGAGTACAAGCATCGTTTCCTACGAATCACGTCCTGAGACTATCCAGACTATCCACACCGCCGAAGAGAAGCCTCGTCTCAAACAGTTCACAAATTCTTCCCGAGTTCCTCCCCCGCGGTCTCCATCTAGTAATCAAGTAACACCAGATGTATCCCCAGGAACCAGAAGAATCATCAGCCAGACAGCAAAGGTCTACCAAGAAGGACGAGACGCGCACCACGCGAGTATCGATGAGCTTCGCATGGGCATGCACTATGTTCGCACGCTCGGAGAAGGTTCATCGAACGTGCGCTCTGTGTCCGACAAGTCATTTTCATCGCTCGCGTCTTCTCAGCCTGGTCTAGGTCCTGTCGGTGTAGGGACGGAAAACACCGTCTCTCGATTCATCGTACGGACCGGCGAGAAGTTCAAGTTCCGCATTCCCATGAGGTCCACCAATGGTACATATCGCAAGTTGGAGGCAAAACTGATGTCGGGGCAAGCACTTCCACACTTCTTGCAGTTGGAGCTCAAGGGGCACGGCGGTGACGACAAGAGAGTAGTCGAGTTTTATGGGATTCCTGCAGAGCAAGACCTTGGGGAGATACAAGTGGGAGTATTCAATGCGGAGGGTGGGGAATGTCTTGCAAAGGTGATCGTCGAGATAGTTGGAAGGAATAAGAGGTCTCCGCCATTGACAGGGTGAGCTGGCTCACATCGTGTCGTACTCGATTTGTCCGCGTTTCATGGCTTTCTAACGGACCAGTGGGCTTGGTATTATTTACAGTTCTATGTAACTTAAATTTGATTCATCTTCCTTCTTTCCGCGGTGTACATGCAAACATAACGCCGCTGTCGGATATCCGCAGGAGCGCTCCTCTCATGGGAACCGTCAATCTGTCACGGACAGGGTCATGCATTGCAATGATTGCATGTCATGATCAGTGTCATTGCCATCGAATACCTGACATATCTAAAGACAGTGCATATCTTGGCTCGACTTGATTCCAAGATATTGCGGACTAGGAACTTATCAGCCAGTGTTCGTTCCAAAGGGTAATCTTCCACGAAAGTAATGAACAGTTTGTACACGAAAAGCGGGGACATTACAAGACGGTTGACGTGCGAGGCAAATGCGGATTCAAAGGAATGTACAATACACAAGGTGAAAAGTGGTGAGTCGCGTCTGTCTGTACTATAGACATTTTGGTTAAAGGAAAGAACACGCGATTGAAGGTAAGAAAACTTACTTGATCTATCCAACGTGAATCTACAGTTGTTTCATGACTTCCAGATGAGGATAGCAAGCGATCCGACGTAGAAATAGATGAAGTGCTTTGTTTCTGGAAGAAATGACTCAGATTAGATTTCTTCTCAGAAAGGACAGAAGCGCAAGAAAGTTGTAGGAGATCGGTGAAAGTAAACAGGTTGCATAACCATCACATCCGACGAGGGCTAACAACACAACGCATGAAAGACATACCATGAGTCACGTAGCTGCCAAAGTTCTTTCCGACAACAACGTGCCACGTGGCCCCATGTCGTCTGTCGAACTCTTTCTTGATCTGTGCAGCGATGTCCTTCTCGATGTTGTATTTCTCGAGAGCAGCAGATGCGATCTCAACGCTCTCTTGCTGCATCTCTTCAGTCATATCCACGTTCTTAATAATAGCCTTGGGCCCTCCGGCAGCATTGTGTTCTCTGGGGCTGGAGCCAGTCTCGGTAGATGTTACTGCGTTGTCTGCCATGGTAGTGAGGTAAGGAAGAGGGTAATCTGGGGTGTTTTTTCAGCTTTGTATGAGTTTATATATGCCTTAGATAGGCCTGCCTTGAGTTTTGGGGCGTGCAGGCGGCAGTTGTGCGCTTGCGCGTGTGGTTGAAAGGAGATCGCGTTAAAAAGTGGTGTTGACTTTAATTTTTGTAAACGTGGCTAAAATGGGTTAACGGTGTCATCGTGTTTATCTGAACCACATGCTCCAATTGAAACGCGCTCTGCACGCTCCTTCAATATTTCAATAACTTCAAGTCGGGGATAAATAATTTCTAGCCTAGATCCCATAGATGCCGTGAACTGGTTCAGCAGTACCCGTCAGGTGACAACACTCCGAGTCCATGTTGCATTCTCGCACTCTCATTTTACCCTTCCACGATGTGTCTCGGGCGTTATTCTATTAACTTCTGGTCGATACAGGCTGTGTCCATCGCAGGGTGTGCACATGCAACAGAACCTTCGTCACAATCAGCATGTGGATCCGAAGGACACACCGTCCCTATCTCCGCAGGGCACATGCAAGTCTCCCGTGTTCTTGTCGGTTCCCAGTGCCCACTGCTTCGTCACGGTATTCCTCCAGAATCTCATCGACTAGTCGATTTTGAAACCTCTTCTCGCTAGGTGCCACCGGCTTCGCTGACAATAAGTGAACAAGGTTTTGTTTTGTTTTTCCAATCGTTTGCATGGAACTGCTTTGCCTTCAAAATTTGGTTGTCTTATGCAGACAGCTTCTCGAGCGCCTAGGCACATCCCCCTTGCCCCCCAAAGAATGGGCTACTGCAATGAGGCGAAACCATCAGTTCACACGCCACGCCAACCTTTATTCTGTTGACCTGCATGCGCACATCGCGCTTCATCGTGTCAATAAGCTGTATGTATGCCGTACTACATCCTGTATTTGATGTATCATATTCAGGTCTAATCTCGTTTCACATCGAATCTGGGACACATGGAGCCTACACGTAACACCGACCAGGACCAAGGAACCTCGGAAAGTAGTCACACGAGAGACAGTCGACGACCATTTCTAACCTGGGGAAAATACGCTTCTCTTGATTAGAGGTGTCGAGACAGTATCTATTAATCGGAGGTCAATATCGCTAGCAACAGTCCCCGGTGAGTGCCTAAAAATTGTGAAAAGCATAAATGTTCAAATCAGATAACATCCGGGAGGTTCCAAAATGTGGGATTTGGAATGCAACGTACGTCTGCACATATATTGAAATTCGTAAGCAAGCAAGTATTCAACGCCGAACATTGCATCATGGCCAATAGCCATGCACTTCCCGCTTGCCATACTGATTCAAAGGGGCAGCACGACACTCACGGTTTAGAACTTGATATGGATTCCCTCCTTTTTGAGTTGTTATCGAGCTATGCTCCATCCTATGTCAGCCTACGGGAAGCCATCCAATATCTAATATTATGCTGCGAGGTAATGAAGAACACATTCGATGTTTTGACTTAAGTTGGCATATTTGACACTTCCGATCCAGTGAATACCTTCCGAACCCAGCGTGCTCGCCGTTGTTCACCTTCTCAATCCTCCGGGTGCTTAATGGCATGTCCAAATCAGAAGGTTTTGCATCCACGGTGTCATAGAATGAACCAAATAAACTGTCTCTGTGATATCCAACTGACCTGCTTGCTAATACCAATCATCTCATGTGCAACAAGAACCGATTCCCAATGCTCGTGCATTACCAATTCACTCGGGCCGCCGTGACACTCGTGTGACGTCATGTGCACTAGTGTGCATGCACCTTATCTTGTCGTCTGCAAGTCTCACGGCAGGAAATTCGAGTCTCTTCCTATCTTCATGGGTCAAACAACACACACAGAGCGAGAGCCCTTCGCAGATGAAAAGGCACCTTCCATTGTCCAAAACATAGATTGGACAGCCAACGCAGATCCAGTGTTTGTATGGCACGCAACTCAAAACTACAAGCGTCGACGCATTGCTTTACGGTCGAAGATCCTTCATTTTGCATGTTTTTTGGGTCTTGTACTGCTCTCACATCACTTTTGGCCATATCTTACAACCAGTGCCTTCCCCTCTCACGAGAGCCAGAGGTTACTCGCTATTGATGATGATATGTGTCCACAAGTCTCTGCTATCACACCTTCGAGCCACACGACACTAATCGACGCTCTCGATGAGGAGTACGGAACCAAAGAGTTCAAACTCAAGGCGTACGAGTCACTGGGAGGCGCCGTGAGGATCCCGTGAGTATTTTGTCTCGGGGGTCGCTTCTCCTTCATTGAAATGGTCATAGGACTGTGTGCTATGACGATCTTGGCGCTCCAGAAGAGGACCCGCGGTGGAATGTATTTGATGACTTCCATACCTACATCGAACAGCGTTTCCTAAAGGTGTAAGTGGCATATATTAGTCGTGCCAAAGCATTCTTAAGAGAAAAATAAGCCACGCCACTCTGCAACGCACCAAGGTTGCGACCTATGCAGTCGTCTATCATTGGCAAGGAACAGACACATCTTTAAAACCACTCCTCTTGGCCGCGCATATAGATGTGGTCCCCACACTCGCTGCAACTGAAGCTAACTGGATCAACCCCCCGTTTTCGGGCTATTATGATGGTGAGTGGATTTGGGGGAGAGGCAGCTGCGACGACAAGCCTGGAGTCATCGGCATCATGTGAGTAGTAAAGAGTAGCATAAGCGTCATCGCGATGCTGATGGTTACGATAGGACAGCCATCGAGGCTCTCCTGGAGCAAGGGTTCAAACCTACAAGAACCGTCATCTTAGCTTTTGGCATCGACGAGGAGCGTGGCGGGCAAACTGTGAGTGCGCTTTTTACTTGACTGAAAATATTCCAATATCATCATAGGGAGCTGCGGCAATTGGGAAGTATCTCGTAAATACCTATGGAGAAGATTCCATTGCAATGATTGTCGATGAAGGAGGTAAGATGGCCCTTTGATTGAGTTGCAGCCGACTTCTCAAACCCATCAAGGAGGATTCTCAGACTTGAGCGGTACCGTTTTTGCAACTCCCGCAGTTGCTGAGAAAGGGTACTTGGACGTTCGTGTGGACGTTCTCACACCTGGAGGGCACTCAAGCAGGCCTCCTAGACACACCGTAAGCACACCACTTACACACAGTGACATGTCTCATAGTATGCAGGGCATTGGCATCCTCGCCAGCGTTGTCACCGAGCTGGAGGCGAACCCACACGTCCCGAAGCTTGCACGCGACCGAACTTACTATCAGGGTTTGCAGTGCAGGGCAAAATACGATGATGGGTTCCCCTCTGAGATGCGCAAACTCGTCATCGAATCGCAGACTAGCGATGAGAAATTACATGAGCTGGAGACAAAGCTTGATGATTTCGACCCAGCATACTCCGCTTCAGCGGGTACAACTCAAGCCATCGGTAAGTAAACAAGATTATCTCGCGTTGGCAGCTTGAAGGAACAGTTGATCAGACATTATCTACGGTGGCGTCAAGATCAACGCACTCCCTGAAGCCGTTTATGCCATTACAAACCACAGAATCGCAGACCACAGGTATGCGAAGGTGTATCACTATTCAGACCAATCCGCTCACAATGAAACAGCTCTGTTTCTGACCTTCAAGACCGGTTTGCGAGTATCGTCGCACCTGTTGCGGCGAAGCACAATATGTCTCTGAATGCATTTGGGAAGGAAATCGGCCTCGAGGCATCTACTACGTGGGGTCTTGTGAAGGTTTCAGATGCATTCGGCCCTGGATTAGAACCCGCACCTGTCACCCCAACTACCGGAAGTGGGCCATATGAACTACTTTCGGGTACCATCTTGTCCACGCTGGAGACCAACCTCCGTACGGACGACTTCCCTGAGTCTTCTGTCGTATCACCTGGTCTTTCCCTAGGTAGACTAGCGCGTTAATACTTCATATCGATTACTAACATGTTTATCCAATAATCACAGGAAACACGGGTAGGTGACGCTGATGACGAGAACACGGAGATCATCTGAACATGCGTTTTCCAGACACAAGGCACTACTGGAGCCTTACCAGACACATTTTCCGATATGGCCACCGTGGTACCACTGATGGCTATAATGGCGCCCATACCATTAATGAAGGTAAGCGTGCTGCCGCATTACCTGCTGTTTTACTCAATAACATGGTGGCCTCGATCTTTAGCCATCAGAGCAGAAGGCTTCTTGGAACAGATTCGTTTCTTTACGAGGTTGATTCTGAATGCTGATGAAACTCAGCTCCTGGATTGATCTAAGCGCGGCGATGGGAATGGAATCTAGAAATAGCCCCTATGTCGCTACTCACTTTCAGGTGACTTTTGGGTGACTTCGCTTGTACTTGCCGCGGTAATCGCGTGTGATCAAAGTTTTTAAACGCAGTTGTAATGATTAGCTATCTTGTATCTCGTGTGTATGAAACAAACGAATAAACGAATTTCGCATGGAAAACTTCCGTTGGGGAGGTTACATAAACGTCTGTGCCCGCACCCCATCTTACAACAAACGACGAGAGCGAGTATCGAAAACATATGGGACGACAACGCTGTTGCTGCTGTGTCGGCATGTTCTGAAACCTGTTTCGAAACACTCGATAAGAATAGTGAGAAGAACCTTTGACACCTGAGATACTTATAATTGGTTATTACGTAACAAAGTACATACTTTTGGGGCTCAGTCAAGAAGGTAAAATACTTGACAAGCCCCCATCATATCTGTGTCCCACTTGTCTTTCTCTTTCCTCCCATCATCATCTCCCATCTCTGGCAGCATAGTCTGCTGGCGAATTCAGTCCATCCAATAATCAATCACTGGTGGCAACGATGTCAGCTTACGATCACTCAAAAGTAGCCCACTTCATAGGTACGCGTCCTATCATTGAATAATAAATGACGCGTTTTGGATGTTGATCTCATTCTCAGGTGGAAATTCGCTGGATAAGGCTCCCGCTGGTCGTGTTACGGACTTTGTAAAGGCTAATGGCGGTCACACAGTCATCACGAAGGTAAGCCATCTTTCGGGTTCTTTAAACTGTGTTTCATGTATTTTATCGAACCCCATTGATTGAATATGATTCTGATTAATTTTTATCTTTTATAGGTACTTATTGCAAATAACGGTACGCACCAAAACAGGTCATACTGGGAAGGCTAACTCGTAATCCACAGGCATCGCGGCGGTCAAGGAGATTCGGTCCATCCGCCAATGGAGCTATGAAACGTTCGGAACAGAACGAGCTGTCGAGTTTACAGTTATGGCAACTCCTGAGGACCTCAAGGTAAATGCTGAGTACATCCGCATGGCGGACCAGTACATCGAGGTTCCAGGAGGATCGAACAATAACAATTATGCCAACGTTGACCTTATCATCGATGTTGCCGAACGTGCTGGCGTGCATGCCGTTTGGGCAGGATGGGGTCATGCGTCTGAAAACCCTCGACTGCCTGAGAGTCTCGCTGCATCGAAGAACCGTATAGTGTTCATCGGTCCCCCAGGAAGTGCCATGAGGAGTTTGGGAGACAAGATATCAAGTACGATCGTCGCTCAGAGTGCGGATGTTCCCTGCATGGCTTGGTCAGGCACTGGTATCTCGGATACTGTCATGTCAGAGCAGGGTTTTGTGACCGTTCCTGACAAAGCGTACAAGAGTGCTTGTATCACAAGTGTTGAGGAGGGTCTCGCCAAGGTCGAGACTATTGGATATCCAATCATGATCAAGGCCAGTGAGGGTGGAGGAGGAAAGGGCATTCGTAAAGTCGATCATCCGGATGCGTTCAAGAATGCATTCCAAGCCGTTGCAGGAGAAATTCCAGGTACCGCGTGATTTAATTTGATTGAAGCGTCTCCTAACCTCCCTTCCCCAGGATCGCCCATTTTCATCATGAAGCTAGCTGGTCAGGCGCGACACTTAGAGGTCCAGTTACTCGCCGATCAGTATGGCAATGCCATCTCTCTATTCGGACGTGACTGTTCCGTTCAACGTCGTCACCAGAAGATTATCGAGGAAGCCCCCGTCACCATTGCAAAGGAAGATACCTTTGAGCAGATGGAACGCGCAGCAGTCCGGTTAGCGAAGCTAGTCGGATATGTCAGCGCAGGAACAGTCGAATGTATGCGCATCATTTTTCATGGGCCCTCTCAAAAATTTGCTGACTAATTTCCTTTCAGATCTCTACAGTCATGGGGAAGATGTGTTCTACTTCCTTGAGCTGAACCCTCGCTTGCAAGTCGAGCATCCGACGACTGAAATGGTTTCCGGTGTCAATTTACCTGCTGCCCAACTACAGGTAGCCATGGGTATTCCCCTCCACAGGATTCGTCATATCCGCACTCTTTACGGCGTGGCTCCTAATGCTTCGTCCGAAATCGATTTCGACATGGTAAAGCCTGAGTCGAATCAGCTTCAGCGCAAACCGCGTCCCAAAGGTCATGTCGTTGCAGTTCGTATCACTGCCGAGAACCCTGACGCTGGATTCAAACCTTCATCTGGATCTTTGCAAGAGCTTAACTTCCGATCCAGTACGAATGTGTGGGGTTACTTCTCCGTCAGCACTGCGGGTGGTTTGCATGAGTTCGCTGATTCTCAATTTGGTCATATTTTCGCATATGGCGAGGATCGATCCGAGAGTAGGAAGAACATGATTGTCGCGTTGAAGGAGCTTAGCATTCGTGGTGACTTCCGAACTACTGTCGAGTATCTCATCAAGCTTCTTGAACTCGAGGCGTTCACCGAAAACACCTTCACAACTGGGTGGCTGGACACCCTTATCAGCAACAAGCTCACCGCCGAGCGTCCTGACGCTACTCTTGCTGTCGTCTGTGGTGCAGTGACGAAGGCTCATCTCGCTGCTGACGCTTGCACCAGCGAGTACAAACGCATCCTTGACAAGGGTCAGGTTCCTGCTCGTGACCTGCTCAAAACCGTCTTCGGCGTAGATTTCATCTATGAGAACACTCGGTATAACTTTACTTGCGCACGCTCCTCCAAGAACATGTGGACACTGTTCTTGAACGGTGGTCGGACCATGGTCGGTGCTCGTCCGCTGGCTGATGGTGGATTGCTTGTCATGCTCGATGGCCGGAGTCATTCCGTATATTGGAGAGAGGAAGTAGGCGCGCTGCGTCTCATGGTCGACGCAAAGACATGTTTGATTGAGCAGGAGAATGACCCCACGCAACTCAGAAGCCCGAGTCCCGGCAAGCTTGTCAGGTTCCTTGTCGATAGCGGTGATCATATTAACGCTGGCGAGACCTACGCAGAAATCGAGGTAAGTCTTCTATGGTATAGACGTGATGTTTCAGTGCCTGAGCTAGTTGTCTCCAGGTCATGAAGATGTATATGCCACTCGTAGCTGCTGAGGACGGTATTGTCCAGTTTGTCAAGCAGCCTGGTGTCAGCCTTGAACCTGGTGACATCCTTGGCATCCTTACCCTGGATGACCCAGCTCGCGTCAAGCACGCTAAACCTTTTGAAGGCCTCCTCCCTCCTATGGGTCTTCCTGGTATCATCGGCAACAAGACCTATCAGCGTTTCGTTCGCTGCATGGGTACACTCAATGACATTCTTGAGGGTTATGACAATCAGGCTATCATGGCCTCAACCTTCAAGGACATCGTCGAGGTGCTGCATGACCCTGAGCTTCCTTACTCTGAGGTCAATGCTATCTTATCTGCGCTTGCCGGCCGCATGCCCGCAAGACTTGAAGAGGGTATCCGTGGCGCGATCGAGACCGCCAAATCGAAGAGCGACGCTCACGAGTTCCCCGCAGTGCGCATCAAGAAGGTACTCGAGCACTACGTTCAGGACTCCATCTTGCCCAATGACAGGGCAATGTTCCGCATGCAACTCACTGCTCTATATGACGTCCTGGAACGCTTTATGGGTGGTATGAAAGGTCACGAGGTGCACACGATCGCCAACCTTCTTTCTGCATACGAGCAGACTGAGAAACTCTTCGGTGGAAGCATTGAGGCCCGTGTCCTCAAACTTCGAGAACAACACAAGGACGATCTCGACAAGGTTGTCGCACTTGTACTCAGTCACACAAAGGCGCAGAGCAAGTCGAAGCTAGTGTTGGCCATGCTTGACTACGTCAAGACAAGTGGTTTGCCTGTTTCGAACGCAGAAAGTCGACTTTACCAGGTCCTCAACGACCTTGCAGCTCTTGAATCCAAGTAGGGTCCTGTGTTTTCTTTCGTTATGATCACTCACCAAGCATTTTCAGGTCCTCTACCTCCGTTTCTCTTAAAGCTCGCGAGGTTCTCATTCTCGGGCAGATGCCGTCATACGAGGAGCGTCTCATTCAAATGGAGGCTATTTTGAAAGCATCGGTCTCTTCGAGCGTTTATGGCGAATCTGGCACTGCTAACAGGTAAGACAATTAATCTGATGTTGCAACTGTCGCTAACAACCTATTCAGGGCTCCATCTCCTGAAATCTTACGAGAGTTGAGTGACTCGCGTTATACCGTCTACGACGTCCTTCCTGCGTTCTTCTCGCACTCCGACCCAGTTGTCACAATGGGTGCGTCTTTAACTTGATGAACTAATGCAGTAATTTTGACCTGGACCGTCTATCAGCTGCCTTCGAGGTTTATATCCGACGTGCTTACCGCGCTTACTCACTTCTATCCATTGACTACGAGGAGGGTGATGGTTCGGATGACGGCGAATTGCCGAGCGCTGCCACTTGGAGGTTTAACCTTGGTCAATCTCATTCGCCACCATCGACTCCAAGCGTCACTGCACCGTGAGTTTACCGTACAGCAGCTTCTTCATTCGACTCACTCACTTGATCATAGTGACCCTCGCCGCCAGGGCTCAGTCAGCGATTTAACCTATCTCATTAGTCGCAGCCAGTCTCAGCCTATCCGAAGTGGTGTCATTTCATCATTTTCTGACCTTGCTGCCATGGCACGAGGCTTCGAGAAGGTTGCCGACCTCCTCCCTATGTTTGACGTCGACGAATTCACCCAGCGTTATGGTAACAACCAGCCGCCTAACGTGATGAATCTGGCACTCCGTATCTTTGACAAGACCGATGACGTTGCCGAAGAAACTTGGGCGGAGCAGTTGACAAAGTTCTTGAACGATCGCAATGGCGTACTCGCAAAGCGTGGCGTCCGTCGCGTCACTATTCTTATCTGCCGCCGCGGGCAATACCCGATGTACTTCACCCTTCGCAACTCCGGCGGCTCCTGGGTCGAGGAGCAAGCCATCCGTAACATTGAACCGGCTCTTGCTTTCCAGCTGGA